TACTCCTTCATTTTTCAGCCTTTTTTTTTATTTCATGTAGTAACTTGTGTATAACTTTAATAAATTCAGCCTTTTAAATAGAGGGCAACACTGTTAAAAATATTTTCAAACCTTGTTAAAACTTTTTCGTGTGACACCCAAATATACATACATATTCAAATTGTCTAATTCCCTTAATTCATTTAAGATTTCAAAGCCATTTGATTGATATCCATATTTAATTTATTTATTTACATCGAATGTAACTTTGTAAACATGTGGCAAGCTTCCTCAAATAATTTTGAAACTAACACCTTTTTCTTATGATACCCGCATTCTTATACATATTTCAATCATCTGATTCCCTTAGTTCAAGTTGAATTTAAATTTTAAAGCAGGTGGCAACCCTCTTGCTGTAGTTTAGAAATAAAATATCTTCAAAGCAATTTTGATTAATATCCATATTGAAATAATTTATTTAACCAATTGCATACGTTGAATTTAAATTTGAAAACAGGCGGCAACCCTCTTAAAAATATTTTAAAACCACAGCCTATTTCGTGTGGCAGCCACATTGGGATACATATTAAAATTTTCTAATTGCCTTAATTTAAGTTAAACTTGATTTCATAAACGGGTGGCAAAGTTCCTACATGGAGTTTAGAAATAAAGGTCTTTCAAAGCCATTTTGATTGAAATCCATATTGTTGTAAATTATTTAAATTATTTGACCTATTGTACACTTTCAGTTTAACTTTTTAAACAAAATATTTTCAAATTAAAACCTTTTTTGTCCGACACCCATATTGTGATAGATATTTAAATTATCTAATTCTCTTAATTCAAGTTAAATTTAATTTTTCAAACAGGTGGCAGTCCTCCTGCACGTAGTTTGGAACTGAAGTGTTTTCAAAACAATTTTGATTGATATCCATATTGAAGTAAGTTATTTAACCTATTGCATATATTGAATTTAACTTTGTAAACAGATGTCAACCTTCCTACATATAATTAAGAAATAAAATCTTCTCAAAACCATTTCGATCGAGACCCATATGTAATAATTCATTGACTTATAAATAGCTTGAAATATATTTCTCATCAGGTGCAAACTCTTTTTGAAAATATAATACGTTATTGCTTATCTACAGTCCAAGCCCTCTAATTTGGTACCTCATTTTGTAAAATCGAACGAACGGTATAGATCTGATCACATGAAAAAAGGTTTTCGCGCACTTATTATGCATTCATACACATGTACATTAGACTGCATCACTCCCCATGCAAAAAAAAAATCGGTATTGTTTTTCCATTGCAATTATAAAATCTATTATATTTTAAGAAGTCCTCCAAAATATTTTGGAAAAACATTAAGATTTAAGCGAGCTGGACCGATTTGAAAATACCTCCAAAAATGGAGGTTCTTATGAATATAAATAGTTTCTTAAAGATGTTTTTGAAAAAAGCCCTTCAAATGACAAAACGGTTTAAGCTTAAAAAATGTACATAAAAATATTTAAAGAAAATAAAAAAAAATTTGAGCGGAATCGTAATAATGTGATTTTTGATGCTGTTTTTTAACTATTTTCAAAGATTGGTATAAGAAAAACTTGTATAACTGAACCTTAACTCTTCCGGGCTCAATTCCCATTACAACCAGCATGGAATTTAAATATTTTTTTAATTTAATTATGAAAAAGCAATCAGTAATTGCAAGCGCTTCATCTTAATATGGGCGTATTTGAAGTGAATATTTCTATACTAAATACTAAAATTTGTATACTTAAACATATTACGAGTTGGGTTGGCGCTCTTTCATATGCGTATTTTTTTAATTATTATTATATTATACTTAAGTTTATTTCTTTCATGAAACCTAGAGTACAGTGCCGTACAAAATTATTGGCTCGGAGGCTCTTTCCTCAGATCTCAATTTCTAATCAGATGTTTTAGAAAATTTTTGAAAATGTAGCTTTTTGGCCAATTAATAAAGTGCAAGTCTGAAGTTGCCAGCAAATTTCGTTGATTTTTAGCATTTATTTTTTTTTTGCTGACAGTGTCTTCCATATAAAAAGAAGACTGGAAGAATGGAAGAAACTTTCAGTAAAAACAATACCAAAAATCAACTAAAATTTAATGGGCTGCAAAACTTCATTTTAAACATTTTTATAAAAAGTCTGATTAGAATGTTGCAAATTTGTATGCAAATTTATTAAATTTTGCGGAGTTTAGCACAAAGTTTAACAATTTTTTTTTAATGTTTTTTCATGTAATGTATTTTTATAAAGAATAAAAAAAAGGTTCATGCGTTGTGAAAAATTCTCTGTGCTTTAGTTGTGATAAGTTGTTTTGTTTTGTTGGCGTACGTTGTAATGATCTCATGATCTCATGTTTTTATGTTTTTGTTTTTGTCTGTCAAAATAAAGTTTCACTACATCCTTTCGAACGTCGAAATGAAAGAGAAGGGAGCGAGAGGCCCTCCCTAAAGTTTCCCGGTTTGGCAACAGAGATATCTGGCAGCCCTAGACAAGATATATACACGTAGATCCTGTTTTTTGCCTCTCTGAAAGAATTTTAAAAATTCTATACAAATTTCTTTTGTTTGAAATGCAACCGTGGACACTAGCTGGCAGAAAAACTTACAAATTTGCGTTCGTACAGAAAATTGCAAGTTTCTCTACATGAGAGAGAATTTGGGAGCATTTTTTCTTACTATCTGACGAACAAACCTTTTGTCTTCCCTACAAGGACTTTTAAGACTGGCCGATTCTCAATACACTCAAATAGAAACCAATACACCTAAAAAACGCTGTAAAAATGTCCCTTCAATTTTAAGGCAGTAAAACAACGACCTTATGTTAACATCAACCGAGGCACAATATGTTGACAAGGGATGCAAAATCACAGTTACACAAAAGAACTGGTCAGATTTTTCAGAAATCCCTTCAATTGTGATGTAAAATATGATGCCTGAATAACTCAGTGAGAGGGGAGACCAGTATGTTTGCATGTATGTATATAAAAAAATATTTATTGGACCAAAAAGTAGTGGGTAGGCACTGTGGCCAATGGTAATCAACTATTACCACTTCTGCATGGTTGTAAGCCATGCAGAGTCCGCAGAAGACTCCGGAAGCAGTGTCCGGAGGATGCATCAGACTAGGCCGAGCATACTTTGAACTGCCATCAAATTATAACTTAAGAAAGTTTTATTACATGGCAGTTGAGAAGTGCATGTACATAAATTTCATTAATTTAATGAAGGAAATTTTTGCACATGCAGCAGTACATAGCATGCATTTAGGCGCCTGGTGTTAGCAGTCGCGTCTAAACAATGCCAAAAGACTGCAGATCTCCCATTTAGATGACCGGTCATATGACCGGCAGATGTCTCGTAGGATTCCCAGAGAGTTTTGCTTTACATAGAAATTTGTGCTCTTTTATTTTCATTTTGACTCACTTTAGTGTTGGTTCCTTTAATTCAAGTTGGCATTCGGTTTTTGGAATTTAAATAAGTTCTCAGCAAAAAAGTTTGTTTAAAAAAATACATATGTGTACATAGTGCTTGAAAATATCAATTTTTCCCTTACCTTAAACCTTTGGGAGTGCGCAAAAATGATGTTTTGTAATTTAGGCAGAATTGAATACCCGCTATCTGAGGAGACAATATCTACATGTAATATTTATTTTGTTTGTTGGCGCTATGTATATCCAAACACAAACGCATCGTAAGTGTCTTAACAGTGAAACAATTTCTTATTTTCTAAGTTTGCGAATAAAATTTCACACTTAAAATTAAGACATTTATAACAAACATTTTATGAAGAAAATCCCTTCTTCGTTTAAAATAAAAATAAGCGAAATCGGCCCAATTTCATACAACCCTGCCTGACATGAAAATTTTCTCCATGATAAGGCTAGTATCCATTTCTAACAGATTTTGGGGCGCTTAGTCAAAAATGGAAACATATATACATATTTGAAATTTAAGAAAACAAGGCAAATAGCAAAATCGGCTTAAAACGGCTAATTTTTTACTGCAAAACGGCTAACAAATCGGCTGCCGGCTAAATCGAAAATTCTCCGGCTGGTTGCTATCGCAACCGGCTAAATCTAGCCGGAAAACGGGTAAAATGGCAACACTGGTTGAGAGTGATCGCGAATGGATTATTTGCATCGTTTTTCTCATTTATGAGAGGCCGACATCGGCAATGCTCGGACTTCTCATATTCGAGTGAGAGGAAATTTATTTGCTTTTTTCGATCGCGAATGAAAAGCAGCGGAAATTTTTTTGTCGATCGCATTCCGAATGTGAGAGATGATACATTTGTTTGCATTTTTCACTCGCGGTAAAAGAATGCAAAAATTGATTTGGAATATTATCGATCGCGAACGTGAGAGAATGTGAGTGAGAATTTCCGAACCCTGGTGACAATATCAAGGCGCACGCCACAAATCGGAGGAGAAGCTCAGCCAAACACTGACATATCGTCGACGTTTTTGCAAACCCGCCCATCGACCAGTTGCAAAACCGCCGATATCGCCGTTGCGGCAAAAAAGAGATTCGTTAACCCCGAACTCCAGGTATTGAGATCTATGCATCAAAATCCTAAAATCGTTGTTAAAACAACAGATTTGTTAAGTAATAGCTATAGAAAATACAGCCTGCCACGGCAATGCCTTCAAAGAAGAACTGTTTTTTCGCTCTCCTGTAAAATTTGAGTGTCGTACGATAGGCAGTTTTGCAATTAGTCGATGGGCGGTTTTGTAAAAACATCGACGAGATGTGTAAAACGTTGTATACGTGAGGCGATTTTACATGCAACTTTTAGTTGAAAGCAACAATCGCGTGATGTAAACGGCCTTTCAACTAATCGCTTCCAATCAAGTTGGGGTACAGCCAACATATATTCAACTAGTCGCCTCTTAAATTGCCTGGAAAATCACCTCATGTGAACTCCATTTAAGGGCTAATCTATTATTATCATTATTATTATTATTATTAACACCCTACTAGTTTTACAAGCATTAAATTTAAAATAGGTATCCGATAGTTTGGTTATATCTGGTAAAATCTTAAATACTTTTATATATTTTTATGTACAATGCTATGTATAATTATAGGCGAATATTCCAATTTCCATACGTCCCTCTGCAATCGGTGGGTTTTACCAGCTTCTCACTCAACAAGTTCCCAACAATTATCAGATGTGACTGCGTTAGCTCAGCGACGAACTCAAGCTGGTGGTGCTGATCTTCTGCAGCTCACAAAGCCGATCCCATGCAGTATTGAACTGACGAGGTGTACGCGCCAAAGCCAAGCGCGCAAATGGACCCAAAGTTCTGTATCCATTGTTCATGTAGCGTACGAACCCGGATGAAGCAAGCTCTTTTAGCGCCATTCTCACTTGTGCCCCCACGTCGCCACAAGCGTAACCCCTAAATTGAATCAAACAGTCATTAAAGAGAAAAAATATACATTCAGTAGCAACATACTCCTTTGCCAGCATATCGATGATTTGGTTCTCCTTTAGTCCACGCAGAAATTTAGGGTGATCCTGAAAAAGGCGTATCACGTCAAAGACGAAAAGAGGCACATGCAGGTGATAAATATTGCGGCGCAGACATGACGTTGAAGGCTCACGGTCGAGAATGTTTGGACGCATTTCTTTTTTGTGGTTTCTATCCTATTTATTTACTACTTTCCCAATTGTTTTAGCGATAGCGATAAATTTTGAATCCTTATTTACAATATGATTAAAAAATATATATGCAGTATATTCTTGTATATGATAGTTTTGAAGCTAACTTAATTTTACTATATTTTATGACAAATAATAAAAATTGAAAAATAAATGATAACTGTCTAAAAATCATCAATTTGAATGGATTTCTGAAATTACCTACTGTAGGCAATTCTTTTTTTGCAAGGCCTAGAAGTGTTTAATTTGTTGGTACCACTTCATTTAAGCATTAATATCATCTAATTAGAGGTGTCATTAACAACCTTCCAACAAATTAACCCTGACAAGCTAATATCCCATTCTGTTTTGTTTGTTTTTTTTTTGTTTTTTGTATTTCTAACATGCATACATATTTACATATCCTTAGCACATCAGTTTACTTGTTTACATACTTTCAACAATTACATCGCTTGGATTTATTACCCTCTCATTTGTAACGGGTGATTTTTTAAGAGCTTGATACCTTTTTTTTTAAAAAAAACGCATAAAATTTGCAAAATCTCATCGGTTCTTTATTTGAAACGTTAGATTGGTCCATGACATTTACTTTTTGAAGATAATTTCATTTAAATGTTGACCGCGGCTGCGTCTTAGGTGGTCCATTCGGAAAGTCCAATTTTGGGCAACTTTTTCGAGCATTTCGGCCGGAATAGCCCGAATTTCTTCGGAAATGTTGTCTTCCAAAGCTGGAATAGTTGCTGGCTTATTTCTGTAGACTTTAGACTTGACGTAGCCCCACAAAAAATAGTCTAAAGGCGTCAAATCGCATGATCTTGGTGGCCAACTTACCGGTCCATTTCTTGAGATGAATTGTTCTCCGAAGTTTTCCCTCAAAATGGCCATAGAATCGCGAGCTGTGTGGCATGTAGCGCCATCTTGTTGAAACCACATGTCAACCAAGTTCAGTTCTTCCATTTTTGGCAACAAAAAGTTTGTTAGCATCGAACGATAGCGATCGCCATTCACCGTAACGTTGCGTCCAACAGCATCTTTGAAAAAATACGGTCCAATGATTCCACCAGCGTACAAACCACACCAAACAGTGCATTTTTCGGGATGCATGGGCAGTTCTTGAACGACTTCTGGTTGCTCTTCACTCCAAATGCGGCAATTTTGCTTATTTACGAAGCCATTCAACCAGAAATGAGCCTCATCGCTGAACAAAATTTGTCGATAAAAAAGCGGATTTTCTGCCAACTTTTCTAGGTAATAAAATTCAATGATTTGCAAGCGTTGCTCGTTAGTAAGTCTATTCATGATGAAATGTCAAAGCATACTGAGCATCTTTCTCTTTGACACCATGTCTGAAATCCCACGTGATCTGTCAAATACTAATGCATGAAAATCCTAACCTCAAAAAAATCACCCGTTAATTTTGGGTTTGTTTGCTTTCCCAATGTCATATAATTTACTTCTTTCTTTGTTATTTCAAGGCACAGCCCATCGCATTATCGACTACTGTAATTTTTCCACAGATTAAATATTTGTGCGTAGGCACATTGTATGGTAATTCAAAATAAAAAGGACCATGTAAAAAAAATATGTGTGAATTTATGTGCATATCGCTAATTTACTTCAATAGTGTCAGAATCCATAACATACAAATATTGAGTATGCAGAAATTACCGCTACTCCTCTTCTTCTTTGTTGTGTAAAAATTGCATAGTTGTTCGATTACCAGTATCTCACTAGAACAAATGGCTGCATTTCTTTATTCATTCTTTAGAACGTTCCTGATGATATGTTAACGTATATTTCAAACGCGTTCTGCTGTGAAATGGGATTATCCGGAATGTATAAAGAAACGCAGCCACTAAAAAATTTTTTGTTTAAATTTGTGCATATTTAGATAGGTATCTCAATGAATACAAATTTACACATCGTGTAGTACAATTAAACATTGGCTGTTTACTTTTACATACCAAATATATTGCGTAAACTCTAAAAAAAACTTGTGTAGATTTCCTAGCTAAAAGGTAGGTTACTGATTTCCTACCTTATTATTCGCAAAATTACATGCTCGATTATTCAACAAATAGTTTGGACTTTTTAGAGTGTATTATAGCTGCTGTGGTGTGCGTAAATTTATTACGAAAGTGTGTACAAGCTACAAAATACACATCTGCTGTTTGATTTCACATAGTATGGATTATAACACAACATTTTTATTTTGTTTTTATCCTTAATTTTAAGTGTTTTTCTTTAACAAAATGTTTTGCAAAAACGCTTAACATTAATGATTAAAATAAATGTAATGAAAGTGTTGTGTTATAATTTGAACTATGTCTATTACAGTGTAAACAATGTATGATTGCTACGAAAAAAAGTGCAGATATTACAAGTATAACTGTCGTAAATAATAAGTTTTACCTAAATTTTCTAACTACTCTTCAGTTTAAAACTAATAAAAAGGTTATTTTACCTATAATAAAACTTAAGTCTTTTATTTATATGCACACGAATAGGTTCTATACTACAAATTTTTTTATTGCTTAGCCTTCATTCAATAAAGAATATTGATGCAAAGTTTCAAATTATGAAACTCAACAAAACGCCTATTAAATATAATAAGTTATAAAATATGAAAGAATATAAAAAATACTGGTTTCACTTTCTTAAACATTATAATATTTTTATGTGGAGGTACTTGGCAGATTCGCAGCTTCGTCGATGTTTGTTTCCTTGATGACTATAAATTAAAGGAAAATTATGAGGCATCTGAAAGGCAAGTTTCAGTGAAAAATCATACATGTACTAACTTAAAATTTCATTAAGTAGCTTGGGCTTGCCGTTGATAGGTAACTGATGAAACTGCCTATTTATGAAGCCCCACATTACAGCGCAAGGCTCAGCGTGGGCGATGTTAAAAACATTGTATGCTTAAAATCATTTATCCACAGCTTTAATATTAAATTTTGTATTGTATTTTTATCCAGCGAAACCCTCTTAAAACATTTTAATTATATTATACAGCAGCCAACCAGTAATTTTGCAATGACACACGGTACATAAATATATGATGAAATATTTAACTGATGGTAATTTAGTATATTGTACGAAAATATTCGTCTGTTGTACGAGTTCTAAAAAACATGTTTCTGCATTTGTTCTTTGTACGAAAGTATTAAGTAAATTTTAAAACCATATGTAAATATTACGAATGCCTTCGTACAATATACAAAATTATTCATACTGAACAAACAGTAATTTACCAATGTTTTTCGTAACGTAAGATTTCATAAATTGTACTGAAAAATTGCCTTACGAAAGTTCTTTTGTTATATTTACGAATGGTTCGTAAAATCTTGTTTCGTTGTGAAAAATGTGTTCGTTTTATGAACGAAAGTTTCGCACATTGTACAAAAACCAAGACTGCGAAAGTTTTTCGTAGCACTTTTATGAAATTTTATTTTCAGTGTATATATATTCCAAAAGTGTAAATAATTACGTTAGGATACCGCATGAGGATTTTTTTTATTATCCCCGTTCCCCTGTAAACCACTTGGTGCGTAGCAAAAAAGTGCATATGCTTCTAATGTTCACGGCTTTAAGGTCATCCAGATCCTTGAAGAAATGGCTCCCAAGAGCTTTTGATCTTCGTTTTGACAGAGCCGGGCAATGGCAGAGAAGATGTGGGTTAGTTTCCTCTTCGTGTTCATTCATGCAGCTCCTGAAGAAGTCGTTCCAGGGTGCGCCCCTGCACCTAACTTCTTCTTCCTCTTCTTTTTTGGCGCTGTAACCGCCTAAGCAATTTTGGCTGAGTTCAGCAAAGCACGCCAGTCGTTTCTCCTCTGTGCCAACTGACGCCAATTGGAAACGCCAAGTGAAGCCAAGTCCTTCTCCACCTGATCTTTCCATCGCAGTGGGGGCCTCCCTCTTCCTCTGCTACCACCAGCGGGTTCCGAGTTGAATACTTTCAGAGCTGGAGCGTCGGTGTCCATTCGAACGACATGTACAAGCCAGCGGAGCCGCTGTATTTTAATTCGCTGCACTATGTCCATATCGTTGTAAAGCTCATACAGCTCATCGTTCCATCGTCTGCGGTACTCGCCGTCGCCAACGCATAAAGGACCGTAAATCTTCCGCAAAATCTTTCTCTCAAACACCCCAAGAGCCGCCTCATCGGATGTTGTCATTGTCCATGCTTCTGCGCCATATACCAGCACGGGCATGATGAGTGACTTATAGAGCGTGGTTTTCGTACGTCGAGAGAGGACTTTACTCCTGAATTGCCTACTCAGTCCAAAGTAGCACTTGTTGGCAAGAGTGATTATGCGTTGGATTTCAATGCTGACATTATTATCGGTGTTAATGCTGGTTCCCAAGTAAACGAAATTCTCTACTTTCTCGAAATTGTAGCTGTCAACAGTGACGTGGGTGCCAAGGCGTGAATGTGCTGCCTGTTTGTTTGATGACAGGAGATACTTCGTCTTGTCCTCGTTTATCACCAGACCCATTCGCTTTGCTTCCCTATCCAACTTGGAAAAGGCAGAACAGACTTCGCGGTTCTTGTTACCGATGATGTCGATGTCATCGGCATAAGCCAGCAATTGCACGCTCTTGTAGTAAATTGTTCCTGAGCGGTTCAGTTCTGCAGCTCTTATTATCTTCTCCAACATCAGATTAAAAAAGTCACATGAAAGGGAGTCGCCCTGTCTGAAACGCCGTTTTGTGGCGAACGGCTCGGAGAGGTCTTTCCCAATTCTGACGGAGCTGGTGGTATTGCTCAACGTCATTTTACACAGCCGTATGAGTTTTGAGGGGATGCCAAATTCAGACATAGCGGCGTATAGGCAACTCCTTTTAGTGCTGTCAAAGGTGGCTTTAAAGTCGACAAATAGGTGGTGAGTGTCGATCCTTTTCTCGCGGGTCTTTTCCAAGCTTTGGCGTATTGTGAATACCTGGTCTATGGTGGATGAATTTTTCACGCAGTAGA